CACAGTGAAGGTACTCCTCAACCTATGAGGAATAGGTTTTTTTGGATCAGCCGGTTGTCCAACACATGCGGAAACCTTCATCACCATGCTTAAGAGTATCCAAACCAAACTGAGAAATAGTACACATTTAAACATTTACACATTTCCTACACATGGAAATCCCAGAGATAGATTGATGGAATGGAATGCACACTCTCCCCCTGGAGGGACGCATCCTGGTTACCTAATTCCAGAAAGTATTAGGCGCAAGAGCCAAGGCTTGGGGATCCCAGAGTGTACATTGGGTTACTGCTGGAGTCTACCAGCTAAAATCACATAGCTTACCATTGATATGATGAGGATTAGCATGCCAGAAAAAGAAATGCTGGAGAACAAAATTTCCCATAAGAAACCAGTGCAAGCATTACAAAAGAAAAGCCTGCATATGAAGCAATTGGGAGCAGTGACTTCTTACCTTCAACTATCAACATGTCAACATCAAATAAATGTTGGAAGTTATTATGGTGTTGGGAACAGTGTTCCTGTCTATCCACATATTAGTCAATTCTTGATTATACTTCTGTCCTGTACAGGTATTTGTTGTTCAGTGCACCTTGTTTTGTGAATTATAGAATACTGCATGTTTCGCAATGTTTCTGGTTGAGTAAAAGATGGTGACAGTACATTAGACTACATTAATTCTTGCTCTATCCCTCCACCTTGCCCCTTCGTTCCCCATCTTCAGATCGCACCTGAAGATCTTCCTCTTTGACTGTGCCTATGGTCACTTCCTCCTCCCCTCCAACTCCTTGTTGTGCTCCACCATTATCAAGCGCTTTGGGACGCTACCCTGCGTATGGGGCGCTATATAAATACAAGTTATTGTTATATTTTACATGAGAATCAGAAATCGGTGTGGGATGGCCATTACCCGCACTGTTTTAATATTTACACCAGGTCCAGTTAGTGTGAATGTTGAACTCTCTGCTGTATTCTTGACACTTTACAGAATAAAATTAGTAAAAATGTAATGAATGTTGATATAGTAAATGAAGGAGCGTTACTTTCCTTGAGTTCCATCTAAAAGCTGCCAGTCCTCAGTAGGCAGTAGGATCCACAATGGCAATGCATTGTATAGTAATGTGGTCGTCAAGCAGCTGGAGAAGTGGATGACAGAAATGTGCTAAATGTAAGGATGATAATAATCTCTGCATTGGTGCTTTTCGCATTGGGAGGACATCTCAGTGTGCTTCAGGATTTATTGTAAAGTGTAGTGATTATGTATTGTTTTGTAGGCAAACATAAATGTTCTTTTTGCACACAGAAAACAATTTACATTGATATAGTGCCCATCGTGTGGGGTAGTGTCCTGGAGCACTGAAACAGCCATTAATTAAATGACCAATTTTATCTGGGGGATTGTTGGCCAGAATATGGGGAGAAACTCTTTTTGAATCCTATGTTATCTTATGTATAGGGTGCTATCTAAATATATGTTGTTGTTAAGTACTTTGAACAGAAGGTATTGACCTTGACTTTCGTTTCCAGTCAAGCATTCTCAATTCAATTCCACTTCTCATTTGTATCAAGCCCACAGCACAAAATTGTTCATATTTGGATATTGTCAAGTAAAACTTCTTAAATGTTTTTTTCCTTACCAACTGGTTTCCCTAGGACAGGTATTGAAGTATCTCACTGTATTGAAGGAAGAGAGAAGCAGACCTGCTACTATGTAAATGCTGTTGCCACTTTGAAGTGATGCTTGAAGTGTTCAAGATCTGCTATCCTGACAAAGACTTTTTCTCCTATTTTGTCACTGTTTAATTGAGAATAACATTCCTTTGAGGTGTTTATTATATATATTTAAGTGCAAGTTGTTTTGAGGATTGTAGATTACATATATAAATAAACATGTTGGATCTGTTGATAAAATAATAGTAACAGTTTCTTACTGGAGGTACTGCAAAACATCAATGGTGCAGTCAGGGGTTGAATTAACTACACTAAATATGTGAGAATTCTGCATTCATTATAGAAATCCTATTATCTTTTCAGTTCACTATCTAAAGTTACTTTGTTTTTCATAACATCTGCATTACTTAAAGCATTTAATGTATTCATGTCCTATGTGTCAGCTTTGCTCATTTAGGAGCACTCTTGTCTAAACATCAGGACGTTGTGGGTTCAAGCTTCACATTGGGACTTGGGCACATAATGTAGGTTGATACTTCAGTGCAGTGTTGGCAGATGTGCTGTCCCTCACAAGAGATTTTACACCAGGGTTCCATTTGCCTAATCTTCAGGTGCTTTAAAGATCCCGTGTCACTATTTGAAAAGACAAATGGGTTTCTCCCAGTGTCCTGGCCAACAATCCTCCACCTAAAGTTGATCATTCATCTAATAGTTGTTGTGTTTTCCTGTGTGCAAAATGGCTGCCATAGTCACTACACTTGCCAATAATTACCTGAGAAGGGTTTTGAGTCATTTCAGTGTGATAAGGCACTATTTCTAAATACATGTTATTTCTAAATATGATTATTTGTCAGTTTTTTAAGGTCAGAAAACATCAATTTGTGTGCACTAACTAATTATTCAAGTTGAAATGAATGTTTTAATATGTGTAAAGTAGTGGAGTTCATATGTATTGTTGATCAAAGATGAGTCACATTTTTGCGACTTCTAAGGTATGTGATTAGAATGATAAACCAATGTTTGAATGGTTTGATAGTAGCTGAATAGTGTGTAAATACAAGCTGTTTATTTGCCAGAACCAGTCTGATTTATCATTGCTATGGAAACCACATAATAAATGTTTACAACCATCTGTGTGGTTTGAAGGTTTTTGCAGCATAGCTGAGTTGTTTTTGTTTACTGTGGTTAAAATGCTCAGAACAACTTATCAAATGTCAGCGTCATCTCCCAACTGAACTTAATTAATCACAAAGATGACAGCCTGTCAGTCAGCCAGACTAAGACATAATTGATTGATGTTATCATATAAAATGGTCAAAAGAGGTGTGTGCTGATGACAATATGTATTCATTGTACTGTTTTTATAAATCATACTGTCAGTCCTAACCAATGCCTACAATGTTTTCAACACAAGAGAATCTCTGTATTATGGTTGCATTTTTCTTTTTTTTAAAAAGGCCATTACAGTGTCTCCAACATCTAAATGAGATAGATAGCAGTCTAATCTACTTGAATATATAATGCAATCATTAATTTAAAAATATTTTATGATATAATGTAACTAAGTACTTGCAATTCACCCCAATAATCCTGGACGCAGGAACCTGATTCTTATTTACCAAAAAATGTCCAAGATTGGACCAGATTCTCCTATACTTAGTGAACTTCAGCATGTTCCCGATTCCACCCTAAAATGCTGCCAGACTTAGTTTATATTAGTTTATATTAATTAGTTCATAATTGACATCCACCTGAAATTGTGTTGAAATTGATCAAGCTATAAAAGAAGAATATCTATCTTACCACTTAAATTAATTCTTAGTCAAATTACTGTCTAATTCCCCCTCAAATTTGTTGACACACTCAGCCTTTATTGCCTCCTTGCATAGTCTATTCCATATACAGTCACCACTGTGTATAAAATAATTAAACCTGAACTCTGCTCACTTTTCCTCTTCAAAGTGTGTGTGTCCTCTTGTCCCAGATGTTTTAACCATGGATACAAAATACATGCAATTCTATTGCTACCAAAGAAGTACAAGCATTACATTTAGAAAGTAAGTAGAACACACGTAACATACCAGTTAATCAAAGACTAATGCATGTAAATTCCAAAAGCTTTGTGCCTTTTTTTTTAAACTGCAATTTATTGTAATAAAGGAAGTGTTGTAAAGCATGCAACTGTAGTACAAGGGGTTTAAAAGCAGTTTGATCTTCACTCTTTTTGAAATAAACTGCCTTTAATTCAGAAAATTAAAAAAAACTCTTTACGTATGACCCTTAGCCTAATTATTTGAAAATACCTCCCAATCACAAAGACCATTTCCATAAATAGTTCACAGGTGGCCTTGTGGGGTTGTTGTAAGTGTTATGAAAATGGGTTCCTAATTTGGTTCGCATGCATCTGTCCTGTACATAAACATAAACACCAGTGGATCACTTAATGATTCAGGAAATTGTACACAAAAGGTTAAATAAAAGCTATTTGTGACCCCTTTATAGTTTGCAGCATTTGGAGATCCCCGTTTAATGGTTAAATGCTTGGAAGAGAAAAATGGTTTCTGCTACCTACATTTTTGCATGAAGTACTGTATATTATTTCATGGGCATTTACCTGAGGGATAATAAAATAAAGCTGATTTGAATTATTGATTTATTAGTAGATATTCAAAAATTTCAGTTGGATTATTTCTATAGGTTTGCAACAATCTGTACAACATAAACTAGATAAGGGATGCTGGGGAAGCTAAACTACAGTTACGGTAGGGAGTGGGTTATGTTGGGGAGAGATTAGGGCAGCTTGTTGTATGTGTTTCGTGGAATAGCTTTTGGTGGAGCAGGCTTGATGGGCTAAATGGCAGTCTCTTGTTCCTTATATTCTAGGTTTGTATTTTATTGTTGCAAATAAAACTTGATTCACCTCAATAGTTAGCTGTGAAAGATAACATTGGAAAGAGCTTTGATCAGATACAATGGTCTTTAATATTTAGAACTTATAGTTAATATTTGCACCTGTTCCAACAATAGTCATCTATAGTATACCTTGCAAATGGTAGGTTATGATTACACTGGGGCAGTGAATAATGGGCTGTTGATTTAATTTCTCATAAATAGTGCATCATTTTTATAATTCATCTGGAGAATGCACCATGCTGAATTTCATACAATGTGTGTCACTACCTCCCCCATACAGAAAATATTTATTGTGCAGAATTCCTGCATGAGCATTTTGTTGTTGTTTAGAGGATTATATTAGAATATTTTGTGATAACTTACATTTTCTAACCCTATACAATGATACTAATGGGTTTTTTTTCAATGTTTTCTAGAAGAAGAAGAGAATTCCTCAGTTCCTATAGCATCATCATCTATTGAAGTTGAAAAGATGAGCCAACATAACAGTGGCAGTTTGATGGGTACGATTATTCATTATGTTTTGTATACATTAAAAAAGGGGATAATTCTGATACTTGTTCCCAGGTGTGTTCTAGTTGGATATTTCAAATTAATTTCAAAATGTTTACATTTCAAAACTCCATTTCATCAGTGGAATGGGCATGGTGAAGTCAGCCAAGTTGCTCCCCATGGGGTGTGTCTGTTTCTTGTCACTTATGTTGGTGGATTAATCTGTATCCTTCCTGATCCCCATACAGTATTTCAACATAATTTACCACTTACTGGTACTGAACTTTTTAATTAATTTGGAGTGCAGGGATTGTTGGCCTTTAGAACTGGGAAGGATACTAAATCCCATTTTACTACAACAGCAGATTGAAGACTGACTCAACACAAGAATATTCTGAATTTATCGCATATTTAAACAATTTTAATACCTATCTTTCTTTTTTTTTTAAATTGCGTTACCCAAATTATTTGTTTTCCTCTTCACGTGATCTGTTCCATATGATGTCTGTTGTTGAATAGAAAATACAAAGCTGTGGTTTGATCCATTCCCTTCGCGATAGAGGAGTCCTTTGATAAGATAACCTTGACAAAATCGAAGGCATTTTTTCAATGGCTTAAATGTTTCAAACACTTTACTTTCATGAATTTAAAAAGGTTTTATTACTAACCTATGGGTTGGAGATGTAACAGTGTAAACATTTTGGTTCAGGTATTTTTCATAATTAAGCTGTGCATATCCTGTTTACCAAAGTTAGTGGACAGTAAAAGTTTTATTAGGGGTCTAGTGTTTTTAAGCAGTTGTTCTATTTGGTTGTAACTCAACTGGAAATCAGTTTATTTTGCTTTTTACAAAAAATCATAGTGCAGTTAAGTCTCTGTTGAGTAAGACTTCATTTTAAAGCAACCCTCCTCTTTTCATTATTTTCCACAAGACCCCTGTGGTAAGACAGGGGACCAGTCTGGTTTTTGTCCAGTTTTATGTACTTGTGTGGCAGCAACAAAGCCCATAAGTATTGATTAATGTATGTGGTGGTCACTTGAGAAGGATTTATAAAATAAACCAATTTAGTTCTTCCTGAATTAGTTTGTAATGACTCAATTAGCTTTTATTCCTGTACAAAAGAGATTTAAGTGAATAAATTAGCAGATCATCATTGGGGAAGTGTCAGCACTGAAGGACAGTTTGTAGATGTAATACAGAGTTGCTGTCACACCCTTAAGGTTGTAATATAGACATCTGTGTATACTTTGTGGTTTGGTGAAACAGACTTCTGCCATTCAGAGCCTGACAAGGGACCAAAAGTTACCGAGGGAATAGGCAATGCAGATGTCTCTGAAAAGGTCAGCTTGACACAGGCTTTGATGATCGACCTACTGCTCTGTCTGCTTTGATAAAAATCCGATAAACTTAAGACTGCTAATTGATCTGCAGCCTGTTTAAATGTTGGCCATGCATATCTTCATTGTGTATGATTAGCGTAGAAAGCAAATGAAGACTAGTAGCTAGAAATGCCAGTGACAGCAGGATAAAAATCATAACAGGACATGCCTACGTTGAACAGAATATATTCTTATCTGCTGCATTTTTGGCACCAACGCCTGTGCACTAATTATCAGATCAACTGGAGTGACTACACATGCTCAGTCAAACTACAGAACTGTGACCTTGCACAGTTTTGTTTCATTGCCTGTAGGTTTGAAAACATGATGCATCACCAACTCAAGGACATTGAATTCGATAAGACAATTCTGAGACACAAAGTGGGGCAGATCTGCTTCTTATCAGGACTTTACACCTCCCTTCAGCCAAGTGTCAAGTAGAGCAGGCTTTGCTATTGTATCTTTAATGTGTCCTGTGAGGAAATGCAGTCTGGGTCACCTTCCTCATCATGTACACCAAATACATCATTCCCTTAGTGCTGTCAAACAAAGAATGGGTGGACAGGGAGCATGTGCTCAGGAAGTTGCTTTTCAGATCTTTTCCTATTACAGCATATGGAGAGGAAACAGAAGCCTAGTTTCAGGAAAGCCCACAGAGGAAGTTTCAAGCAGGTTGCTGTTAGATTTTGTCTTGCACATGAGCTTTTCATAAAGGAAGTGGTCATTGGGTCATCTAATGACAGCAATGAGGATAAGCAGAAACTCTGTGATACTCTTATTTAGCATCCTAATGTTGGATGTTAGTACTTTTAGTCAAAAGATTGTCCATCTATATTTTTCTGTACGGTACATGCATTCCACGATTACCTGTTCTCCCCTAAAACTCTCAAAATGTTGACATGATATTCTGTACAAGCAAACGTAGTGTTGCTGCTGTTCCCTCATGACCTTTGCCCTCAAACAGACACTTAACTTTGTAACACAAGAAATTTGGTTGCCAAGTAGAGAATAAATGTTAACGAGGGTATTTCTTTCTTGCTATGATTCTCTTAAATGAACTTCTAACCTTAGTGAAGAATGCTAGATATTTTCAACCTTACTCTGCTCTCTGGAGAAGAAGCTTTTGTTTATATAAAATACTGAAGCTTTGGTTAGAGATCAGTGAAATAAGATGCATGATAGATGTTAAAAAAGTGCTATTTTCAATGTTGTCTGCATCACCACAAACTTACTGCCGTTCTGAAAATTAGCTATATTTTGATAGAGGAGCAAAGGTTATTTATTTTAAAAGAGAAAACAAATTTTAGAATCGTAACAGTCGTTTTGATGATAAACTACTGAACCAGTTTCGATGAATGTTCTTTTCAAACTTACAAATTAAATCGGAGATGGAAAGAGGGTTTAAATAGTCCTCCTTTTGTGATTGCTAGGTGAGCTTTCAGCCATTATATCCCCTCTCTGAAACCATTCTGGAGTTCCTCTTCCTTGCTTCTCCCTTTCAAACTTGTCTTAAGACTTCTTTCTTTGACTCTGCTATCTTCTTCTCCCTCCCCCATGGTTCAGGCTCTCAGGTCAGTTGTGTGAAATGCTTTAAGATGTCCTCTCGATGTGAAATTCACTCTGTTTATAATGCACCATATAATATTAATCCTTGCATTTGATATAGCACCTTATCATGTCTTCGAGACATCTCAAAGCGCTTCACAGAATATACTGTAAAGTAAATTGACTGTCTATTTTGTGGGCAGCCAATTGGACACAGTGGTATTCCACAAACAGTCGTGGATTGAATGACCAATTTATGATTATTATATTTTTTAAGGAATTATTACCCCCGGAAAAGAGATTGACAATCGATTAACAACCAGGTTCCTACTTACTGCTAGGTAAACAGAGGCGTGTGGTGTAAGGAAGCTTGCCCAACGTTTCACCCTGCCAGGAATCGAACCCAGGTCTCTCACTTGCAAGGCGAGTGCTCTAACCCCTAAGTACAGGCTGTCACATATCTTTGCAAGCGACCTCCAGAATCCCCCTGGCTTTCCCTTCCCTCAATGGCATAGTATATGTCCTTTAACTCCCTATTAGCATGGTTGAGATTCAGAACATCCATGTCAGGGAACCCCAGCCATGTCTCAGTGGTGCATTTATTGCATATAATTCTGTCCTCTCCAATCTCAAATATAAGTTTTCCCATTGCCTTTGTTATTTTTTTGAAACTCGGTCTCTCGTTCTATCTCTATTCTAATGATTCCTTACTGGATGTGTGTGGACACCAAGGAGAACAGGATTGGACTCTGCTGTGATTACAGAAGGACCTGCTAAGACTTAACTGCCTTACTTCATATAATGAATAGCCAGAAGACTGAGGTGTGAAGGATCAGCACCTGGCGAACATAACAGGGAATTAGTATCTTGAGGAGAGAAATTTTACTCCAAAAATTAAAAAGTTAGTTTTAATGGTAACAAACAATCAAAAACTATCTTTTATTTATCAGTACAACTTTAGTCATTTTACAGTTAGTGTATATATAATATACTAACTTTTATATACCAGTCCATTTTAATCTTGTTATAAGGGAAATATTCTTCATGGATTTTTTCAGATTAGAAATAAAGCAAAACAACAAGATAACATTTTTATAGCGCCTTTCACGTCGGGAGGACGTCCCAAGGCGCTGGACCATTGAAGAATATGTGTATCAGTTTTACTAAGCTGAATATTTCAAGTATTCTGATTAAATTTGCATCAGTGGAGACACTGTACATTCATTAATCTCTAGTATATACTTTATCAGATTGACCAGAGATCTGTTCTGAACAGAATTTGATACCTGAAGCATTTGTGCTGTGTCAAATTACAGTGGCAAACCCTTCAGGGCTGAAGTAGTACTTGGATATATCTGAGACCATTTAACCAACCTAATTCCCATTTGGTTGATGTATTTTATTTTCAAAGTGGCACAGGGAAATGGGAGTTTTTACTCTGATTAGACTTGTTGGAATATATTAGTCCACATTTTACTTCACTTTTTTGGATATGATTGATTAAATTTAAACCAAATTTAGGTTTACAGCTATTGTGTAAATGCAATTTAAGATAACCTGTATTCAGTTAGGATGTCCAGGTAGAGATTCCGGTGGATGTGAAAGATACCATGGCATTCTTCGAAAAGAAAAGGAAATTTCTCCTAATGTCCTGGCCAACAATCCGCAAATGAAATTGCGTCACTTGCTTCACTAACTTCATGACTCTTTGTTGGGCACTGCTATGCGCAAATTGGCTACCGTGTTCATCTTCATCTACTGTTCTCTCCACAGTAAAATCCTGTGGAGTCCTCTAAGACATCTCAACGATATGATAAGCCACATCTCTATATCAAATACAAGTATTATTATTGCAAGAAATTCTGCGGGAAAGCATTTAGGAATTTTTACTCATTCTGGAACAATCTATTTCAAAAACAGTTGTTATTTTTGAAAAAGGCAAGTGTGTATTTTAAGTGTATGCCTACAAAATAGTCACTACACTTTAGAGTAAATCCTGTGAAGAACTTTGAGATTCCTCCCGATGTGAAAGGCACATATTTAATGCAAGGATTATTATAATTATTATTATAAGTTCAACATGACAGCACCATTTCCAAACAGTGAATTTTAATGCCTGTGTCCTTTTTAAAACAAACTTACAGATGACCTCAATTTCATGGCACCCAATTCCTTTGTTTAGTAGCAAAAAAAAGCCATCCTGAGGTCACATGATAATGTTAACTGATCCTCTCATTTTTGAGACATGCAGAAATGACTCAACATGCTAAAGATGTATAGCTGTGACATATGTTGTGTTTGAGTAACAAACTTGACCTACTGTCTTGGGTATCAAATGTCAGATTGTGAACCAAGCTGCCAAAGTTGATCTGACATAACCTTGTAATTAGTGCTTGCTCAGTAGCATTACAGGGAATTTGTTTCACTCTGCGAGAGCAGAACCTATACCCCCAGAAAGCTTTGGTCTATGATAGCATTGCCATTATTAAACCTATTAGGATGAAGTTTTAATGAAGTGCATCATCATAACCCCACTGACATGGGATGTTGCCCTAGAACTTGGTCATTGTAACATTAAGATTCAAAAACAAAAACGCCATGTTTAATAAGGCTTGAAATTGGTACGCCACTCACAAATGCTTGGATGAAAGCCATGCAAGTAAAAAAGAAAATGGAGCCCTTTGAGGCTGGGTTAGTCCAGCTATAAAAGACAAAGAATGCTTTTGCTAAACAAGTCATCAATCAGCTAATTGCCTGAATGTCGGGTTACAAACCACAAGCCTTCTGTGTAAGTGAATTCAAAATGAATGAACATTACAGTTAATGTCTGAAGTCTTTCATTGTAGTACTTCCTAACTGAACTTTAACCAGTCTTACGTTCATATAAAATATATTTTTATGTAACAGAGCAGCGAATAGTGCTACTAATGTTTTACTACTGAAGTACCAAATTACATAGTTCAAGCCACAGTAATTCTTAAACAGGGAAAGAATATTAAATTGAAATAGTATTGCCAATCATGCAAGAGTAGAGTTATTTTAGCAATAAATAAAACTACTGAAGTTTTAATCATTTTTATCAAAGCGTTTAGCAAAAGAACAAGTGAGTTCTAAAGTCTCAGGATTTCAAAATTAAAATCAAAGTAGGAGCAAAAGTAAACATATTGGTTCCTTCAATTGGTAAAGATTGAAGTGGCAAAGATATTGCCCAGTGTGAAACTAGCCAGAGGTCAATGACACTCGGCTCGAAAGAGCTCCAGTTTCATTCTTGTGCCACGTGATGTCATCAAAACCATTGATCTAATTACTGCCTTGTATCTTGTTGCCACCATTTATTACCCTGTACCTCCTCAAAGAAATTCTCCACAAAACTAAAATACTGTAGCACCACCTTGCTGGCACTGAAGTAGCATCACTAGAAACATAAGTTTCTAATTCTTTGTATTTATTTGTGTATTGCCAGGGCACTGAGCTGTTAAAATAATTTATTTGCCACCCTCTATGCACTCCTAAGCCGCTTATTGTAAACTCTCTTCCACCATCTTAATGAAAGTAACACAAAATTGTTTAGTGTACTGCAACTGAAACTACTAAAGCCTGCGAGACTTATTATAGCTTTATTAATTTATTATTATACAATGAAATGTATATCAAAAAATTTAAACTGAACTTTCCTTAATAAGAGGGACATGAGAAAACAATGCAGTTACCACTTTTATTATCAGCTACCTGAAGAATATGATCACCTAACCTACTAAACACTGAATGTCATACCCAACAGCCAGTACATATATGCATTGATAAAAAACTCTTTCTTCTGGCTTTCTGACTACCTTCTACCTATTTTCACTTTCCACATACTATTTAGGAATTCAAGAAAAATATTTCCTGAAGCAAAAGTAAGATTGTTTTGTTTGAATTTTGTTTATCTTCAAAGGAGAGAAAGCAACTGACCATGCAAATTACTACCAAGGATTGTGGGATTGCTCAGGGGATCAAGCAGATGAACTTTCTTTTAAACGTGGTGACGCTATCTATGTGGTTAGCAAGGTAAGAGTTGTTTTTAGTTCTTAACCACAATGAATTTTATTTTCAATAATTTATATCAATACACTTGAAATACACTTTTGAGAACGTCTTGCATTTGTAAATTTCTTAGGGGATTCACATGATTGAACAATTAGTATGATTTTTGAGCAGGTCTGCTGCTGCTTAGAAACTAACTAAACATTAGGTTTTGCGCAGCAAGTGAATGGTTGGGATCTTTCCAAGCTGCGGTTAACCTCAGGTTCCTTACACTTGAAAGGGTTTGAGGGATGGCTGCATGCCCAAACATTATTTGAAATTCATGCAAATTATTTTCACTGACTAGTAATGTTTTTCAATTGTGTGGGGTGATTCAGTGTTCAATCTGCACGTCTCCTTTCATCTCCCTTGAAAAGCGAATAAAGCAGTTCAATTGAAAACCATTACCCTGAATATAGTATTAAACTCCGGTCTTAGAGGACATCCATTGCTTCCTGGTCAAAGCTACAAAAAATATTTCATGTCACTCAATGGCAGAACTGGTACAGTACACAGAGAAACTCTCATCATTTAAATGATAGTGGTGTTGAAATGTCTTACTGTTCCTAACATGTCATTTATTACAGTTAATTTAGCTTGTAATTAGGCTTATTTTTTGGAATGTCCCGTAACCTGACACACATAAATTATAATTTTTATTTATATATGATGCAAATGGTCAACTTCTGGGTTGTTAGGTCATCACTGATGTCACTTTCTCCACACTGCAGCTAACCAGTGCATCCCGCACATAACACGTATGCATAACATCCAGGAAGTGACATTAATGTTGCTTCCTGAATATAGCATGCATGCACAACGCACAGGAAGTGGTAACCTGACAACCCAGAGGTTATCCAAGTTTTGTACCCCAAAAAAAGTGGAAGTTATCTATTATATGACTAAAATCAATCAGAAAAAAAATTCCATCCATCCCATTTAAAATGAATGTTGTATATATGCAGAATGTGTAATAACTTCCTTTATATGATGCATGATATCTTTTTTTAAACTAATAGGATTAATTGTTTTACTTGGCATTCACTTTCCAGCTTTTCAACAAAATACAGTATATTGTTTACAGAATGCTGAAATAATCAAGGTTAATTCATTGCTGTTGTATCTATGTGGTACTGGGTCCCTGCATATTTAAAGTAACCACAAATATTTCCAGGTTTCTTTTGTTGAGGAAATACTTCAATCTTAGTACAGTTTCCACTGATGTTTATAAATTACTTTTACGGATTATGACCTCATGAGAACTGCTTCATTGAATTAGAGACATAACTCACTGTCAGACATGTATTTTCCTATCTTTACAAGGATGAATTATCTAGGTCTTTCTCTTAAGTGAAATATGTTGTCATTCTTTTTTCTCCTTGTGTGCAATGCCTAAACAGTTGCAACAAATCTCATGAGGTAAGCTTTTTTTCTTTTGAGCAGTCCAGTGTAATCTTGTCAGTGACTCTAAGCATTTGCTTGAGGTTGTTAGTTATTACTGAATTTACTTATTTCCCTCCAGTTCTCTTGCTGCTGTCACACATGGAAGATGTGCTGTCTAACTTTGACCTTGAGTTGTGTACTCCTTTTTACACTTCCAGCAATCGAATGATTCAGAGCAGGAAGTGAATTTATACTTCATCAGAATTGTTAAAACTGGGATGGAGAAGAGTTCTGCATAGCTAACCAGCACTCAGATTTTAAATGTTGTTAAGGAGACAGAAGTGAACGATCACTCTTAACAGTAATACAACACTGAACAACTTGCAAGTACTTTGGAACATCCTCCTGACATGAAAGGCTATATAAATGTAAATTTGTATTTTATTTAAGTAGCGCTTATCACGTAGGGTAGAGTTCCAAAGCATACATTCAATAAAAGAGAGATTTTTAGGAAGCTTTTAAAGATTGATAGAAAGGGGCAAAGCGGAGGAGTCTAAGGAGTAAGTTTCAGGTATGAGGAGACAGAGTGCTAGGCTTAGGGCGGGAGCTCCAATTTGAAAAGACATAATGGCAGAAGGTTCAGTCGGCTACTGATGCTGATTTGGAGGGAGCGAGGAACGAACAGCAGACTCGACTTTGCCGAGCAGAGCAAGCAGGAGAGCAAAGCAGAAGAAGGTCACAAAGATAGGGAAGACATGCAGAGATTTATATGTGAAAGTGAGGATTGTGGATATGTGAAAACTGGAAGACACTGGAGTCTATCAAGAATGTTGGGCATGTGAAGCTTAATGTGGATAAGGGTGCAAGTTGACAAATTTTGGATCAACTGTGCTTTCACCAACAGGGCATTACCTTTGAGGAGGATTAATTATTTTACTATTTAAAACATAACTATAACACGAACTACAGTTAAGAATCAGGACTAAAGGAACCCACATAGAAAATGTACTATGAAATCTTGGATGCCTAAAATGTACTGTATTTTAATGGGACTTACACATGGTGACTTCTCCTGGTAACTAGAAGTACGTTACAGCAGCCCCACTCCAGAATTAGATTGATCAGTGTGTTGCACGTCTGGTTACTGGCAAGAATCATGTTACAAATATTACATTTAAGATCTGATTTTCTCAATTCTCTTATAACCCTATTGTGGACAGCCTCTTTTTGATAAATCTGACTAAAACATTGCAAAAAACAGTTGAAAATAACTACTTTATTGAGCCCTGTGTTTGCAATAGTGCATTTTAACTGCAAATTAAATGCATTACCTTTTTGTGATTCGGGTTTGAATCCACATTTGCCTACAGCATAACGAGTGGCAACACTGTACAGTATATTCTGTGAAGCATTTTGAGATGTCCTCCTGATGTGAAAGGCACTATTTCAAATACAAGGATTATTTATTTAATCTCCTCTCTGCTGATTAAAGGTCCTACAGACAATTAATTTTGACAATGTCAGCTCAAAGCAAGATGGGATCACAGCACAATATTCGCCATAAATTGGGAATATCACTTGGGTTGGCTAATGTGAAAATGTTGATTTGGTACAGTAGAGATTCCTCTGTATACTTGTGGTGATATGTAGTGCCCTCAAAATATTGTATCACTTTAAAAGTGTTCCATCTATTATTTGCTATTCGTAGAATTGCTTAAATCAATTTATTTTACCCTTCTGTTTAGTTTTGTATTCTACAAACACAATTAATTATTAAGACAACCCAAGGCCTAAAAATCACAAATCATAAACTGTATTTGGAAATTATTTTGCTGACATGATCATGGGTCTTCTCACAATAAAGCTTAACATCTGGGCTAAACATAATTTTCTCCAACAATAATTGGTACCATTCACCACTATGCTCATTATTTTAACCTCCTTCCCATTTGTATATTGTATTCCATGGCTGAGAATAGAAATTGGCCATTTGTGAAGCAGATTGAATACAACTATGCAATTGTAAAATCACTGTTAATGCTCCATCGGTGCTAATGCTGTTGCAAGCACTCACATTACCTTATATTAGTTGGGTGAAACTTACACACTTGCCTTGAAAGGTTTCTAGTCAGTGAGAAATTACCCCCAAAATTTGGTATGGTATTTTATGGTTATTCTTTCATTATTTCAATGCATGCTATGACTTGCATAAAATAAATTAGAATATTCATACTGTAGTAATAAAACTTCCACTTCATATTTCTGACTAAAATGTATTTTAGCTTTGTGATGCGAGATGAAAATAACCAATATTTCACTGAAGTTTATAGAAGTAAAATAGTGAACATTTCTGTGTAAATTATTGACCATCAGTAACAGGATATTGGAAATCATTCACCTAGTGGACATCTGGAATAAGTAACCAGGAACTCAAAGAGCTTGTGGACCCTCGTTTCCAACTTCATGGTTGCATTATTTTACTAGATCTGGCTGCTCTAGAATTATCTGTACATTGCACCCAGTGATGCATTGTCAGAAGTTGGCACAAGTTAGTAAATAGTCCCTACATTTAAATTTTTTTTTGTTTCAAACGTTGACTGAAATTGTGCAGAATTCTTTGGCCCTTGAACTGTTGTCAGATTATGGATTAATGTTTCTAACATGCGGGCAATTGTTTGAAAGCAGAAATTGTTTCCATAGAGGATGAAGATGAACTGAGTAACATTTGAATTACAGATGTTGACCTTGGTTGTTAACTATATAATATGACCACACCAGCTTGTTACCTGTCTCTATTTAAAATTCTGTGTATTACGAGATTTTCAATTCCCAGTGATGCTGCAGGAAGTGTGTTACTCACCTCCTTTTTGTATTGGAGAGGGAGTGAGCAGACCAGAGTAAAGCAAATCGCTTGCACCACTTAACTTGGAACTTATACCATGAATCGCAACCTCGGATATTGTTCTAACACAAGCACATTGCCCTTGATGCTCACATGAAGAGAACATTCTGTAATTGTGCTCCTTTGAAGTAGTTACAGGAACCCAAGAACATGTTCATGTAAAAGTACAGTCTGAAACAGTCAGGACCAATAATGAGCTAAACGACTTTTTTAAAAGCACCTTATGGCCTCATGAATGTTTACTTTGTTCCATGCTTCTCAATTTTGGCACAGTTGGCAAATTTCTTGCCTCTGGGTTAGAAAATTGTCGGTTCAAACTGCACTTCAGAATTGAGGCATAGTCTAGGATGTCACTCCAGTAAAGAGAATCTGGCATTGACCATATATCAGTTGCAGTAATACTACACCCATTGCAAAACTCATTGAATCCCATACCATCTTTTGCAGATTATTTTTTGTGATGTTTCCCAGATAAAATCATCTATTTCTTATCTCAGAGTTAAAATGTACAACACTTTTAACATGGAGATGGATTCTACATGGAGACTGCATCAGATCAATGCAAATATTTATCAGAACAGCAATTGTTCACAAATATGATTATTGGTTCAACTACCAATGCTTGCTGTACATAAAGTTGAATAGTTATGTTCATGATATTTTTTGCCGAGATTCGATTTTTTCCGAGACTTCTCATGAA